ATTGTGTGACACTTGCTAAAAAAGCTAATATGATTCTGGGATGTATTAACAGGAGTGTAGTGAGTAATTCACAAGAAGCCATTCTTCAGCTGTAATCTGCACTGATTAGGCTTTGGTTGAAGTACTGTGTCCAGTTTTGGGCACCGCATTGCAAGGAAGATGTGGAGAAATTGGAGAAGGTCCAGAGAAGAGCAACAAGAATGATTAAAAGTCTAGAAAACATGACCTAGACTTAAATAACTGGGCTTGTTTAGTTTAGAAAAGAGAAGACTGAGAGGGGACATGATAGCAGTTTTCAGGTATCTAAAAGGGTGTTACAAGGAGGAGGGAGAAAAATTGTTCTCCTTGGCCTCTGAGGACAGGACAAGAAACAATAGGCTTAAATTGCAGCAAGGGAGGTTTAGGTTGGACATTAGGAAAAACTTCCTAATTGTCAGAGTGGTTAAACAGTGGAATAAATTGCCAACGAGGCTGCAGAATCTCCATCACTGGAGATGTTTAAGAGCAGGTTGGCTAAACATGTATCAGGGATGATCTAGATGGTACTTGGTCCTGCCGTGAGGGCAGGGATCTAGACTTGATGATCTCGAGATCCCTTCCAGTTCTAGTATTCTATATCCAGATATAAGAGGCTATCCAGTTGGAGATTCTGTGCATGGAGACCAGGAGCCCTTTCATTCTTTAGGCATGAGCAATAAAGAACTGGGATTACTTATGAAAGGGCCTAGTGTGATCAAAGTAAAAGGCAGGTAGTCTCCTAACTTCCAAGCTGTGGTGGTGTCACTCCTCATTTGAGTTATGTGGCTTGGGGTAAAAGACTGGAAGAAAGGTATTTTGACCCACGTGGAAAGAGGAAAGTACCTTCAGGTGGAAGGTTGGATGGGGTTTAGGGATGTGAAGGATTAGTTGACTATCCAATAAGCAAATGCTTATCGAACAGTTGACAGGATAATAGTAGCTTCCCCCCAAAATCTTGCTGCCTCTATAAAATAGAGGCAACAGGGTGGGGAAGAAGAGAGGGTACTTCAAAGTGGCAGCACCGCTTGAAGCCTGGGGCCAGCTTCTGAAATAAATAAAAATGGTAGAGGATGTTAATAAATAATAAATTAATGGAGATTGCCTATCTCCTAGAACTAGAAGGGACCTTGAAAGGTCATTAAGTCCAGTCCCCTGTCTTCCCAGCAGGACCAAGTACCATCCCTGACAAATTTTTGCCCCAAATCCCTAAATGGCCTCCACAAGGATTGAACTCACAACCCTGGGTTTAGTAGGCCAATGCTCAAACCACTGAGCTATCCCTCCCCACTGTGTATCACAAGGGGATTTGTGATTAATTACTTAACTATGAATACAATGTATGTGAAAGTTTTTTATTCTTTGCCTGTTTCTCCAACACTGATTCCTCACCCTCTAACATAAAAGTACTAAAGGTCTATGGAATGCTTTTACCTGTCCTCTAGTCATAGAATCACAGGACTGGAAGGGACCTCGAGAGGTCATCGAGTCCAGCCCCCCGCCCTCAAGGCAGGACCAAGCTCTGTCTACACCATCCCTAACAGATGTCTATCTAACCTGTTCTTAAATATCTCCAGAGAGGGAGATTCCACCACCTCCCTTGGCAATTTATTCCAATATTTGACCACCCTGACAGTTAGGAATTTTTTCCTAATGTCCAATCTAAACCTCCCCTGCTGCACTTTAAGCCCATTACTCCTTGTCCTGTCCTCAGAAACCAAGAGAAACAAATTTTCTCCTTCCTCCTTGTGACACCCTTTTAGATATTTGAAAACCACTATCATGTCCCCCCTTAATCTTCGTTTTTCCAAACTAAACAAGCCCAGTTCACGAAGCCTGGCTTCATAGGTCATGTTCTCTAAACCTTTAATCATTCTTGTCACTCTTCTCTGTACCCTTTCCAATTTCTCCACATCTTTCTTGAAATGTGGCGCCCAGAACTGGACACAGTACTCCAGCTGAGGCCTAACTAGTGCAGAGTAGAGCGGCAGAATGACTTCACGAGTTTTGCTTACAACACACCTGTTAATACAACCTAGAATCATATTTGCTTTTTTGGCAACAGCATCACACTGTTGACTCATATTCAACTTGTGGTCCACTATGACCCCTAGATCCCTTTCCGCCATGCTCCTTCCTAGACAGTCGCTTCCCATCTTGTATGTATGGAACTGATTGTTCCTTCCTAAGTGGAGCACTCTGCATTTCTCCTTATTAAACCTCATCCTGTTTACCTCTGACCATTTCTCTAACTTGCTAAGGTCATTTTGAATTATGTCCCTATCCTCCAAAGAAGTTGCAACCCCACCCAGTTTGGTATCATCTGCAAACTTAATAAGAGTACTCTCTATCCCAATATCTACATCATTGATGAAGATATTGAACAGTACGGGTCCCAAAACAGACCCTTGAGGAACTCCACTTGTTATCCCTTTCCAGCAGGATTTAGAACCGTTAACAACAACTCTCTGACTACGGTTATCCAGCCAATTATGCACCCACCTTATCGTGGCCCTATCTAAGTTATATTTGCCTAGTTTATCAATAAGAATATCATGCGAGACCGTATCAAATGCCTTACTAAAGTCTAGGTATATGACATCCACCGCTTCTCCCTTATCCACAAGGCTCGTTATCCTATCAAAGAAAGCTATCAGATTAGTTTGGCATGACTTGTTCTTCACAAACCCATGCTGGCTATTCCCTATCACTTTATTACCTTCCAAGTGTTTGCATATGATTTCCTTAATTACCTGCTCCATTATCTTCCCTGGGACAGACGTTAAACTGACCGGTCTATAATTTCCTGGGTTGTTCTTATTCCCCTTTTTATAGATGGGCACAATATTTGCCCTTTTCCAGTCTTCTGGAATCTCCCCTGTCTGCCATGATTTTTCAAAGATCATAGCTAAAGGCTCAGATACCTCCTCTATCAGCTCCTTGAGTATCCTGGGATGCATTTCATCAGGACCTGGTGACTTGCCGACATCTAACTTTCCTAAGTGATTTCCTAGTGATCAAACATGGAATGACCCTCCAAAATCTGAAGGTGGAAAGGGACCTCAAGTACCACTTCTGTTAGAAAAGAACAGAAGAAAATAAGCAGCACTTTTTTTTTTTTTTTAAAGCAAATTCCATTTTCTGTTAAAAACAAAGGGCTATTTGAGCTGTCTTTTCAGTTCTGGTTTTGTGAAGGGTACTTTATTAAGCAATATTAAATCTTACATATTACCCATAATATATTAATCTGACATTCTGTCTGCCTTCTCTGATCCCTTTTCTCACACACACACCCCTACATTTACTATCAATTGAAAGGTTTTCATAGCATTTCAGTGTCTGAAGTTGCTGTTCTCAAACTTCATTGCCCTGAGATTCATCTTCTGACAACAATTACTACATAATGGGAGGAGGGAGAGGGAAAGGCCAAACCTACTCTAGTCCTGCTGCCCCAGGCAAAGGCGGAGAAGTTGGGGAGGTACAAAGCTGAAGTCCAGGGTTTTCTGTCCTGGGCAGAAGCAATGTAGCCTTAGCTCTGGGCTTCACCCCCAGATGGTGGGACTTGGGCTTTAGCTGGCCCTAGTCTAACACCAGCCTTGGCAAACCCATTACAGTGTAATCATGGCCTCCTACAAGAATAAACCTTAAGCCCCTAAATGTCTGTCATCCTAATATATGTGTACCATATCTCAGTGTGCAGCTTAATCCTCATTGGCATGGAGTAAAAATGGCATCCCTCTTACAATGATCTTCAAAGGATAAGCAGGATAGCACATTCATTTTAACCAAGTAAATTCAATATTAGGGGAAGGTCAACTTAGTCGTGGGGTTACAGACCATTTGTAAGGACCAAAAGTTAAGCTAAAAAAGCTTCATCTTCTGGTGAGGAGCAGACAGACTTTTATGCGCATATAGAGCCTCACTGAAGTGAATAGGAGGCTTCCTGCATCTACTACTACAGGAGTATACTGCATAAAATGAGTTCCTTTATTCATTCAGTCCCTCTCCCAAATATGATTTCTATTATATGGACACTGGTCCTCAAGAAATTGACCAGTTCCAGGAATTTATTTTATATTAGGACTGATATCTGTTGATTAATTTTAATCTGCAATTATCAAAATTCAAGCCAGTTAATCTAAAGGTATACAGTTCTTTACTCCTTTACCAACTCCTTCAGTCCCACCCTTGCTATTTAAAGGGACCCTCCAGTCAAAAAAAATTGTTAGAAAACAAACGTAAAGGTGTTTTTAAAAATCAGGGTAATTTAAGAACTGATTTTTTCAGAATCTAGTTTATGTTTTGCTGTTTATGCTATTCATTTTTTCTTCATTGTTCTCATTTTGGAGAATTAAAATAGTCACGTGAGCTTCACTTTCAGGTTCTCCATTTGCTGTAAACGGTGAAGTAGATGTCTATTGTAAGAGTGCATTAGTGAAAAAATCCTAAGTTTTATACAAAACCTACATAAAGGGCTAAATTTGACCGGACAGTGGCCTGTTAAATAAGGCTTTAATTTCTAAAATGTGACTTGTCTCACTGCAAATTAAATGGGATGCAAATCAAACTAATGCCATCCTTCAAATGGCTCTTTCAGTAGTGAAAATAAAGATATTACATATTGCTATATAGAGCATCTAAGACTGGTTCATTTTCCTAAAGATTAGATGTAAAAGGTAACTGACAGCAGTCTTCCAATTTTTTAGTTTTGTATGACAGATTAGTTAGACAGATAAGAATTTCAACCAGCTGACATTCTATTTTAGGAGTTCACATTTACTCTTGAAAACAGTAACTATTGTATATGTATGCTTCACAAATATGTCCAAAACCCCACCAGCAAATTTAATGGCTACTTCATGAGAGATCTATCCTTCACTAGGAGTATAAAACCATTCCAAAGAAATTAAGAGTTGTGAGGAATAGCTCTGTTCAAGTGTAAAATCCTACAGGAATAATTTCCACAGTCAACACCAAAAACAAACAACATTTAAACTGATTTTATTTCCAGAAGCTATCTTGTTTGTAGTTCTCCAGGAGAGAACAATTGTTTTTGAAGTGATGAAGGAGTCTTCCTTCTGAGAAATACAAACAAGGCTAGTGACCCAAATACATTTTTTGTTTAAAAAGCTAAAATTTGGGGGGGAGGGGGGGAGGTGGGGGCAGAGTTTGGCTTAGGAATTCACTACTGATCCATTTGCTCAATTTGTCGTCGCCTCTTACGAAATGCCTTTAAGTTCCATTTAGTTGGTTCTAGCATAAAAGGTCCATTGTAGACAAACAACACTGTCATTTTTTCAACATATGTGAGATTCTGCAGGAGCTGTGAAAAACAGGGGGGAAAAAAAAGATCACAGTAAGCAACACCTCTTATGTCAAGCATAACTTTGTATTAGTTAAAACACATTAACCTTTCTCCCAAAGAATTTTTGCATTTGCTTTTACCACTGTTTGCCATTGACCACATACGCATGTCTCCCAGTGCCTCGACAGTCTGGGTTAAGGAAGTGAAAGGATAGAAATAATTACAAATACCACCACGACTTTCCCATTCTATAGCCATATCTGCATGAGAGGGACTGCAGTGGGAAAGCCAATGCACTGTAGTCACACCAACAAAACATTGTAGCGTAGACATAGCCTACAGCAATGGAAGAGGCTTTCCATTGCTGTAGGAACAGCATCTCCCCAAGTGATAGTAACCAGGTCAATAGAAGCATTACTCCATTAACAAAATGCATAAAAAGTGGAAACTAGGTCAAATTATAAAGGCTGAATACAAACAAATAACAAACAAGTATATAAAGGCAAAATTAGAAAGGTCAAGACACAAAACGATATCTAAAGGCATAAAGGGTAACGAGAAAACATTTTTCAAATATATTAGAAGCAAGAGGAAGAGCAAAGACAGTGCAGGCTCATTACTCAGTGAAGATGGAAAAACAGTAACAGCGTGGAAATGGCAGAAGTGCTTAATGTCTTCTTTTTGGTTTTCACCAGGAAGGTTGGTTGGGATTAGATGCCTAACATAGTGAATGCCAGTGAAAATGCAGTAGGTTCACAAGTTAAAATAGAAAAAGAACATATTAAAAATTATGTTGACAAGTCAGATATCTTCCAGTCACCAGGCCCTGATGAAATGCATCCTAGAATACCCAAGAAGCTGACTGAGGAAATATCTGAGCCATTAGCTATCCACTTTGAAAAGTTATGGTAGATTGGACAGAGACCAGAAGACTAAAAAAGAGCACCTATCTATAAAAATGGAAATATGGACAATCCTGGGAATTACAGCCAATCAGCTTAAATTCTGTACTTGGAAAGATAATGGAGCAAATAACCAAGGAATCCATTTGCAAACAATTAGAAGATAATGTGATACAGTCAGCATGGATTTGTCGAGAACAAATTATGCCCAACCAACTTGATAGCTTTCTTTGATAACTAACAAACCTTATGGATAAGGGAGAAGCGGCAGATGTGATATACCCTGACTTTAGTTAAGCATATGCTATAGTCTTGGATGACCTTCTCATTAATAACTAGGGAAATAAAACCTAGATAGGATACTATAAAGTGCGTGAATAACTAGTTGGATAACCATTCAGCAAGAATAGTCATCAAAGATGGTTCACAGTAATGCTGGAAGGGCATAACAAGTCGGGTTCCACAAGGATCAGTTTTGGAACCAGTTCTGTTCAACATCTTCAGCAATGATTTACATAATGGCAAAATTTGCAGATGATACCAAGCTAAGAGGGATTGGTACTTTGGAGGATAGGATAATAATTCAAAATCATCTAGACAAAATGGAGAAATAGTTTGATGTAAATAGGATGGAATTCAATAAGGATAAATGCAAACTACAATGCTTAGGAAGGAACAATCAGTTTCACACGTACTAAATGAAAAGTGACGGTCTAAGGAAGGGTTACTGAAGAAAGAGATCCCAGGGTTATTGCAGACCACAAGCTATATGCGAATCAGTGTGTCACCATTGCAAAAAAAAGCAAACATTCTGGGATGTATTAACAGGAGTGTTGTAAGCAAGACATAAGAAGTCATTCTTCTGTTCTACTCTATGCTGATGAGACCTCAACTGAAATAGTGTGTGCAGTGCTGGGTGCCACATTTCAGGAAAGACGGGGATACATTGGAAGTCCGAGAAGAGCAACAAAAATAATTAAAGATGTAGAAACCATGACCTCTAAGAGAAGATTGGCAGAATGTGTTTTGTTTAATCTTGAAAAGAGTCTGAGAGGAGACATAACAGCTTTCAAGTACCTAAAAGGTTGTTATAAGGAGAAGGGAGAAAAATTACCTTCCCTCAACTGCTGATAATAGGACAAGAAGCAATGGGCTTAAATTTCAGCAAAGGAGGTTTAGGTTGGTCATTAGGAAAACCTCCTGTCAGGGTGGTTAAGCATTGGGATAAATTGCCGAGGAATGTTGTGGAATGTCCATCACTGAAGATTTTTAAAAGCAGGTTAGACAAATACCTGTTAGGGATGGTCTAGATGGTGCTTGTTCCTGTCATGAGTGCAGAGGACTGAACTTCATGACCTCTTGAGGTTCCATCCAGTTCTATTATTCTAGGATTCTATATACCAGGGTATTAGGACATCATAGCTACAGTGCTCGGGGCGTGTTTTTTCACACCCCCAAGCATCACAGTTATGTCATTCAAGTTTTAAGTATAGGCTAAATTGAAATTATGCCAGATACTGAAGTTTAGGTGACCAACCAAAAAAAGTCAACTTTTGACTGCCATATAATCAGATCTGTTAGCTCATTTAAATAAAATAAGTTTTGAGATGTAGGGATATGATACTTAATATCCTCATTGGTGATCAAACAATTTACCCCTATAATCTCTAATTTCCTGTAGTAAACAGTGTAGGTACTTGCTGAGACTGCATTAGAGCAGGCTATCCCATTAATCCTTTCAAACCAAACCACTCAGCTCTGCTAAAGTACTTCAAATAAATATAACTTGTAAATAAGTTTCCTTCTTGGGGCTGTTTGGATGAGAGTATAAACCATTCATCTGGTTGCCAGAGCCACTGACAGTACTTCCTCTGAGGTCAGTCAATTCTCTGCAGCCCTTCTTCCAGAGAGTGCAACATAATTCCCTTTCAGTCTCTGCAAGCCATCAACCTTGTGCTCAGGCTTAAATAGTCTTTCCTCTCTAGGAGCAGGGCTCTCTGAAGTTCTCCTTCCCAGGACTGCAGCACTAACCTTCCTAAGCCCTCAGGTTGACTATTAAGGGAAATTGTCTCACCTTTATCTTCCTCCTTCATTTAAGCTACAGGCTTGCCTTTTATTCCATATCCCTGTCTCTTTAGGCTCCCCTGGTTGCCAGCAGTGCTTACTTCAGCTTGTTTGTACAATGGTTCATTCCAGGGAACCACAAGTCCCAGAATGCTTGTTCTTAAACAGGCTGAATCTTGGAACAGAGTTGGTTGAGCCCAGGCCAGAACTATTCTTAAAGGGGATAAACTGCCCTATTATAGTAATCTTTTATTTTATCCATCATAGGCTCAAATGAACAAACCAGAAGATATTTAGACATCACCTATACCTATGCAATTTATTGTTTTATGTGTGTGAGAGAGAGAGAGACACACACACACACACACACACACACACACACAGAGTCCACACAATAATCTTTTTACTTAGTTTCCAGTTACCTACCTTTGGTGTAATAAAGAAATACTGAGAAGTGCTCTCTTTACAAGCAGTCTTCACAACCATTTCAAAAACTCTCCTCTCATTGACTGGGTCCATTCCCTTTAAAAAAAGAAATTATATATATATATATATATATATTTTTACAATCCCTTTGATCGCTCTATGGACTCCTGTGGAATAAAGTCTGGTTTCATGCACTCATGACATTACCTGATTTATTTCATCTACAACCCTGAAAGGACATCTGTTGAGTTCCTGCAGAGCCATCAAGTACAACATAGTTGAAACACTTCTCTCACCTCCACTCTGATGGTGGGGAGTCAGTTCATGCAGTTGGGTATTACTACGGAATTTAACTCTAATTCGAATCCCATATTTGTCGTATTCCTCCTGTGAAAGTAAACAGGAAACATTAGCTATCTACAGCTTCTTATGGTGCATCCTACTTGATGATGAAGCAAAAGTTAAAGGAAATCGTTTTACGCGTGTCCTATGTTAGGAAAATCAAAAGAATTTATGTATGGTTTATCTCTTAGAATTGATCTAGTCTTTTTACAAAAACTTTTCTCTATACCATCTCATAGCTAACCAATTTGGCATGTAATTTTAAAGCTGGTAAGATATTAAAATTGCTCTTATAACACTTTTCTACACACTTGTTAGTAAATTATCATCTCACAAATTAAACCTTGGCAGCAAGAGATTTATAAATAAAATCATAATTGAATACAAAAGTGAACGTTTCATGAGAAGTTTTGTTGTACTAATTCGGCCTAGAAATTTACCCTACTTGTGAGTTTAACTGGAAACAGTGAGTGAAAAGTTTATAAATGTCATAACCTGTAACTATAAACGTTAATGGCAAAAGGTTAAAAAAAAAAAAAGAATCAGTAGAAATGAATTAGTTTAGACAAAAAGACCTCCTGATTTAACTCGAGGATTGTGTTAAGATTAAACTTGTTGAACATGCAAGAGTGGAATAAAAAAAATCAATTTGTAGGGATAACATATTAATGTATTGAAAATGATTCCCCCAAATGGAAGTGACTCCCCATAATTTGTTCCTCACAACTTAAAGTGTTTAGATTTATTATTAATTCTTATTATTATTATTAGTTAAGATTGTTAAATGTTTAGATTTATTATTATTATTGTCCCTTTAGAATATAATGTATTAGGTCATGTAACTTAGAACTGTTAAGAATATAATCCTATGTAGCCAGAAACAGCCCCCCCTCTGTGTCCCAGGGCATGCTCAAGCTTGTGCAAGGGGCTGCTTGAAATTGACATTGCAGAGATACATTGTAACAATGCATTGTCAAGCCACTAACTCTGCTATGGGAGCCAAGCCCTGTAATTGACTAAGGGCATTGTTACATAATTGACGCCTGTTCTCTTCAAAACAACTGTAACTAACTCAGCACTCAGACAGGGAATGTTTCAAGAAATGCCACCCAGAAACTTGCCTTTTTTGTAACTACAACTCTTGAATATGTAAAGTTGTTATTATACGAAATACTGTATGGGAAACATTAATTAGGTAATGTATGTGAGAGAGAGAGTGCTTGGACGATGAATGAATGGTTCTGAGAGGTGCCAGCCTGAGAATACAGAAACAAAGGGCTGAAAAAGGCGTCAGGTGCCAGGGCAACCAAAAGGTGTCAAGAGGAGAAAACCAAGTACTGGAGGTCCACCCGATGAGATCACTGATGAGCACCTGGCAGCCACCCTGGAGACATCAGCATGATGCAGCAATTTCCATAGACTGGCATAGGAAGAAATTCCTATAAGAACTGGACTAAAAAACTATGGAATCAGAGTCCAAGGTTCTGCTGCCAGCCCACCAGGAGCTTCAGATGCGCATCTGATCATGACTTCGCTCCCCACTACCATCACTTGTGTACAGAGTACCTGGCCAGTATTCTGTCACAGGCAACTTCCAGGCTGGTAACTATACACAGAACTTGAATGAATGGATGTATGAATGGATGTTTTATATATATATAAGTGTATAAGGGTTAAGTAGTGATAGGAATAAATAGTTAAACAACGTTGTTTGCTTCTATCTTTTCTTTATTCTTTATTATTTTTACAATAAATGTGGCTTTTTGCCTTATCCCCCTCATAAGATCCTGCTTGCTTTTATTGGTACAACAAATTGACCAAAATTGTTGCATTAGAAATTAGGCCTAATATTGAAAAAATAATGATGGAATGGGCTATTCTGTCCACCACTTCCTTCTCAAGTTCTAGAAGAAAATAAAAGCTTTTGCTGAAGAAGCTGTCTGCCAACAACTGCTGCAGAGAGCCTTACCATTCTGGCTGCCACCCTCGCCATTTCTTGGGATTCAGTGTATCATTGCTGGGCATTTGTCACCCTAATCTCAAGAGATGTCCTAACTTCAGAGAGAAGAACCAACATGAAATCCCCACCAACTTTGGCTAAATCCCAACTTCTATCTGTGAAATGAGATTTTGTTCCCCCTTCTCATGTGTTCTTTTTCTTTTCCATTTTATTTCTTCTCTTTTCTACCCCTTTCATTTTGCCTTCTGTTTAAGAGTACTCTGGCATAGCCACCTAAAATTGCATATTTTGCAATGCTCCTGTGAGCCAGGGAGCAAAATGATAGGCAATGACCTAACAAAAGCAATGACCTAAACAGCCCAATGCTGAGATACATTTGCCATGTCTTGCAGTGGCTAATAAGACCGAATGTGTTTCCCCAACAGTGAGAATCAACACAAGAAACAGAAGCTTAATTTTCTCTCTCTTATCATCTTTTCTTTCCCCTGGGTAGGGGAGGGAAAAGAGAGTATGTGTGTGACTACACCAGTTTTAGCAACAATAACACCGGTTACAAACTATCTCAATTGTTTCTCTTTTTCCCCAAAAAAGGAGTTACCATCTAAGAATGGGTCAAAGAAGGGAGAAGTTTCTTTCTAAAATCCCTCTACAGCTGAAAAGGAACACGGGATACAGTTAAATTAAAACACTTATTTAATACTTTACATTTATATGGTTTAACTTTTTCCTTCTTTTTTGTATCTTTAATAAAAGGTTGAAAAACAAGGTTTAATATTGTGTTTGCTATGGCATTAAGCATTGTGAGGGTGCTGTATACCAAACAAATACACTATCACATCCCTAGTTTCCAATCTACTGAAGCGAACAAAAAGGGAACTTGGGGTAAGGTCCATGGTTCTTTGAATCCCCTGTGTTTTTATGATGAAGCATTTAGTTAGCTATAATAGTCATTGATCTTTCCAGAGGGTTTTTCTTGACAGAGAGATACATGAATATCTAGGAAGCTGGGATCTAAAAAGTTTTAAACCTCCTTAAAAAGAATGTGACAGACAAAAAAGTCTTTGGAATGAGTGCATCACTCAGCTCCATCTGGCTTTGGAAACCCAATTTACTATTCCACAGCTGGTGGTAGTCCTTCTTTCCTCTGGGGGGACACAAATTAGTGAGTTCTGATATTTAAAGAGAAGTTAGATTTTTAATGTAAAAGGTTCAAGAGAACCTAAATTTAATGCCTGAAGGTGGTCCTCCTTTCCCCATAAACCAGATTATTCCCAAATTATTTTGTATCCTTGAGACAACTGAGCACAAAAAAGTAGAAGTTATTATTCACTGATATGGAAATATAATCATACCTCATTTTCTGTATGAAGATCAACTTCACCAGCACACTGCATAGAACTAAAAAAACTACTGAACTTTTCATTAATTTGTTCAACCAGCTGTTTCAAAGGTGTTAGCCACCTTTCTTTAACCTAAAAATAGAGAGATTATTATAAAACGTTTGAAAGAATTTATAGTTTAAGTTATAATTAACAAAATAATAAATTTAACTATTATAGTAAAATTTAAATTAAAAATTGGCCACAGACCCCCACAGATCAAGTCCACAGACTTCACAGATCAAGTAACTACCCAAAATGTACCAAGAAATCTGTCTCTACAGCTAGGCACTCGCACCACAAAATATGCTGAGGAGAAAATCTGGGATATATACCTTAACACAGTGTTCTCCAATCTTTTTACACCCAAGATCACTTTTTACATGTCAGGGCAATCCAAGATTTATTTCTCCTCTTCTCTGAGGCCTCACCCATCCCGTTCCCCCCTCTGTCCATCACATGCTCTCCCTTACCCTTACTCACTTTCAGTGAGCTGGGACAGGGGGTGCAGACTCTGGGTCAGGCCCAAGGGATTTGGGTGCTAGAAGGAGTGAGAGGTGCAAGCTCTGGGAAGGCACTTGGGTGCCCAGGCTGGGCAGAGTGTTGGGTATAGAAAGGGTACAGGGGCTGTCTCTGGGAGAAGGCTCAAGGCTGAGCAGAATGTTGGGGTCAAGTGGGGGTGTTGGCATGAGCAAGCTTCCAAGCCAAGGAGAAAGCTCATACTGCTTCCCATAAGCATTCAGTCTGCATTTCCCCCCTCAGAGCCCCCTAACATGCAGGAGGTTGCCTCGCAGGCTGGAGGCCCAAGGGAAAAGCCTGTGTGGATGGGCATGCCACAGGGCTTGGTGGAATTTGCTTGTCCAGAAGCCCTGTAATGGGATGGTCTGGGTTGTTATCTAACGTCATCTTTGCTACTAGCTGAGACAGTACCTTCTCCTCAATGCTCACAGGCACCAGCCCCAACTCCCTTGGCAGCTGGTTAGCCAATTTGTTATAATCTCTTCCTCCCCCACCTCTCAGAACTCCCTCCTGAATGCACAGGGAAATCCGTGCAAGCAGCCTCTCCTACTGAGGCTGTGGGTGCCGTACTCAGAGAAATACCTTCTTGCTGGCCAGATCCACCACTTGCCACAGCAGCTGGATGAACACTCTCTCATCAGATCCCATGCTAACCCCTCATGCACCAGCAAACTTCCTGAACAAGATTACAGTGTAGTGGCTTGACGTAGTAGCAGAGGGCTGAGGTGGCGAATTGATGGTGGGAACACCAAAGAGTGGGAGAAAGCAACAGCAAAAGGGTGAAAGGGTGGGGTTGGAGGCAGCAGCAGCAGCAGCAAGAAGGATGAAAATTAGAGGGGTCCCAAGAAGGAGGGGGAAGGCAAGGAGTAGCAAAAACTGAGGGATAAGTGGGTGAGAGGCAGCAGGAGATAGAGGAGTAGGAGCACAGGGAAAGGGCAACAGTAACCCAAACGTAATAAGGCAGGAAAACAAGGCACTTTTAGCAAATGACAAGGTAGTCTATGAGATCAGAATGTCTTCTAGGGTTCAAAGGAGTTCAACTTAGACCCGATAGTTCAACCCCTCACTCACTCTGCATGCTCATTGCAATGGCCCTTCTCCCTGCTGGAGAAATGAGAACAGCTTTGACATGGCTTCATTATTGCTAGCATCTCAGTGCTGCTCTGTTGGGGCTCCATGAAAGGAGAAGGGAGGGGTTCCTGGTTTGTCATGCTGGAGGACGTTCAGAGACTATCGTGTTTACTGCCTACCCACCCCACTGAAGTAAAAAGAAACTCCAGCACTCACAACATTTTAAAGCCCAAATCAATTCCACAAGGAAACTGGCTCTGCTGAAAATTTCAGCAGAAAGGGGGGGGGGGGGTTAGAGGCAGGTTAGGTGGAGGGTTGGGTCACCAAAGGGAATGCGGATTGTGGGGAGTGGAAGATGGGGAGCTAGGCTTCTAAGGAAGAGGAAGGAGATGACAAAGCACAGGTAAGGTGAGTGCTGGGACTGGAAGAAAGGCAGGGATCCCGTGGAACAGAGGGATAGGCATGAGGCTGGGAGCAGACGGGAGGCAAATGTGCAGTTTGCCAATATAGCTTACAGGTTGAACCTGACTGGTGCTGAACCAGACCATTTACTAAACCACAAGAGATCAATGTAGTCTAGCAGCATTACCAACACTTCCACTGTTTACTGGGCTATATAGGGGTAAATTAGAGCTAACAGCACAGAACACAGACTAGTGGCCGTAAAAAAAACTTTATGGGATCATGGGAAACTTAGCCTCACATAAGTGAACATCCAGCTAACTAAAATCATGTTGGACCATGGATGTTGCCAGAACAGAGTGCGTCGGACAATCTGTATTTTGCTGAGATATGCTGATAAAAATGCTGGTTGTGATGGTCCCCCAGAGCACAGCACAAACACAGGCACACACCTGTCCACATAACCACCATCCTAGTTCCATTCTCTCCTTGCTGAACACCCCATAAAGTGACTGGATTTTCTTCAGGAAGGTATCCCATCTGCAGTTAGTGCAGCCCAATCCCCCGGCTAATTCCTTCCTACCCCAACCTGTTGCTGCAGCTGGGGAGCCTGCAATGATTGGGGAAGGAGACTATATATGGGGGGGTGGGGAGCGGAGATTCCGTTTGGCAGTGGAAAGGAAGCACTCTGACCCATTGGATATTGCTGGAACTTGTTCTGCATTACAGACACAGCTACTGCCCAGGTCAGTTCTCTGCTGACTCTTTTCAGGACCAGAGGAGGAAACATAGCAGCAATTCAAAGCAATAGACTCAGCCCACACCAGAAAAAGACAACCCAGCTCAGAAGGCAGCCAGCAAATCAGCCTGGGGCTACAGCAACATGCAGCCTGTACTTTTAGTTTAGCTGCTGTTTTGTTAAAGCATGGTCTGCTCCTGGAAAACAAAATGGAGGAAGGAGATGTGGGACTGAGACACAGATTGACTGTTAGAGCCTCCACGATCAACTGCTTGGAGCAGCTGCCTAACACATTCATAAATGCCTTCACCAAACAAAGACATGCCTCCAGGGAATTACATTGCATCATATGGGCCACCCAAATACTCCAAGAACCTGCTTCAAATACAGAAATAAAATTTGCTCCAAATGCACACTCTTAGTTGTCACTTAATACCCTCAGTGGAACCCACACAAGGTATTATCACATAACTACTACTCATAGTAGACCTATCCTGAAATAAATTTTTCCTCAACCCTCTCTTTTGACCTTTATACAACTCCCACAACCTCTTCAAGCTCATTACCAAAAGCAAGTTCCTGACAGACCAGAATACAGCAACTCAAAGCAGCATCACACCATGCCAGAACAACAGACATGAAACCACTGAAGACACATCTCTACCAATACCTCCTACAATACATCTTTCAAGAACCACGTGTCCCTATTGCAACATGTGGAAAATCTCATCCACTGACTCAATGCCCCAATGGCAAATATGTGGGTGAAATCAGATAATCACTACGCTCTGGAATGAATTCATAAAGGAAAATGATAAAAGACAAAAACGCTATCACCTGTGGCTGAACACTTTTTACAAAGCATTCACTTTGTATCTCACCTACCAGTCCTCCTCCTCAAAGGAAACCTGCATAACGCTTTGAAAAGATGAGCTTGGGACCTTAAATTCATAACATTTTGCTAGATACTAAAAATCATGTACTGAATTGAGAAACTTGATTTACGGCTTATTATAACAATTTGTAACACACTAACATCCACCACCCTGAGCTACTCCTCCCTCACACTTCCTTTTCTCCCTATCATTGGAGGGCTGCTAAAGAGCTACTTCACCTTGAACGGTCCCTTGAAACATGTGTTAAATATTTGTGCCAATTTACCACTCTGCCCCCCTACCTTACATTTAACAGTGACACTAAGTTTCTCAGACTGAAAACTTTGTGTAAGCTTGTCTCTTTTACCAACAGAAGATGTCCCAATAAAAAAGTATGACCTCACCCACCTTGCCAATATCCTGGGATCAACACAGCTCACTACTGCATACAGGAAATATCAACATGTCAGTTTTCCTATCATCAAAACTTTAAATATCTTTTTAAATGAATATGGTATGTTTTAAAAGGAGTAAATGACATTCCATTTAAATTCCTCCTACATTCATTATACCACAGTAATGATTTCAAATATTACTTGTGAAATGTTTTGCCTATAGCTCTCCAATTCACTTTTCTTTTCCTCTAGTTCCTCCGTTACTTGCTGTATTTCTTGTGCCCTTTTATTGTATTCTTCCACAACCTGTCAGGAAAAGGCATCATCCTTTAAAAACAGTTTTTCATATTAACAGAACAGATACTTATAAATTCAAATTTTAACAGTAAAATACATATGTAAACACTGCATTTGTTTACATACAATTAAGTCATGCATGCATTGTTTATATACAGGCAGTCCCCGGGTTACGTACAAGATAGGGACTGTAGGTTTGTTCTTAAGTTGAATTTGTATGTAAGTCAGAACTGGCGTCCAGATTCAGCCGCTGCTGAAACTGACCAGCGGCTGACTACAGAAAGCCCAAGGCAGAGTTGCTCTGCCCTGGGCTTCCTGGAATCAGCCGCTGATCAGATTCAACAGTGGCTGAATCTGGACGCCTGGGGCAGAGCAGCTGGGGTGCTGCTGGGTTGGTCCAGTAGCGCCCCTCCTCGGCGCTACTGGACCAACCCAGAAGCACCCCAGCTGCTCTGCCCCAGGCTTTGGGATTCAGCCGCTGCTGGAACCGACCAGCAGTGGCTGCCACAGG